TTTGGCCATATTCCAAAAATTACTACTGAAATTATTTAATTTTTATGGATTACAAAAATTTTTCAATGTTCAATTAAATACATTTTTAAATATTAAAAAAAAATTAAGAAAAAGCAAATAGTATAATTATTCACACTAATGACTAATATTAATTTTTGTTTGATTAAAGCACACAAAACTCATTTTTTACAAATATAAGTATTTACATTCTTATACACTCTTATTCTGTTAAAGTATAAAATTGTTTCTATGGAATTAACAGCTAACTTCATATTCCAATATTCAATGAATGACAGAAAGATTCTATGAGAGATGGTTTGCTTTCTTTTTTTTATAAAAAAAAACAATATTTACAGTATTTCGGTTATTATTGATTTTATATAGTTAACTCAATATTTAGGCGGTATATATATATATGTCTGCTTGTCGAAGTATTCTTAAATCTATTGACTGGTATTATAAGCATAGATGGATAATAGCAAACAGTGAAACCGAGGAGGAGCGTTTCGTTTTATTTTGGACTCGTCAGCTGGATGTACCCGCATCTCAGAATTGATGTTCACTCTGGGACTCGAATTCAGTATCTTTCGCTTCAAACGTCATCGCGTTATCCATTCAGCTACTAAGTTCTGATAGCCACGTGGTTGTGCTTCCTGGATTCTACTGCTAGCCAATATTCATCTTTGCTTATAATGCTTGTCAATTAAGACTATATAGAGGCAATACACACAGTATGCACATATACCAATAAGAGACAGATAAATTATAGTCCTAAACATCAACGGGAAGATTCAAACAAATAATACTAATTAAATTTATTGACTGGTAGTTCTAATAATACTTACGATAATTAGAAGATTGTCTAATATGAAATTAGTTAGTTTATTAGACAGAGTGACTTCAACCAGAGAAATGAGTAGGATTAGATGGATGTTTTGTTTTAGAATGTCAGCTTACAGCAGGATGTACCTTAATCCCTACTAAGGATCAAACCATAGACCATTAGGTCATGCAACCGAAGCTTGAACTTTAAACCCTAAAGTCACCATTTGATGATTCATAATTTTAGCATCATTCTAATTGCAGTGTTGCGTGATCATCATCTGTTGTTATCGCTGCAGATAATATCATATTTAATCTTGTTGGATTAAGCAACACATGGTTTTCGAGTAAGGCTCTTGAAATTATTTCCTAAGGTAGTTATCAATGAGCAAATGTTTGTTATCAAAGTGAGATGTTTTTATAGATTTTGGTCTCAAAGATAGTTCTAGAATCATGGATTTCAACTCAAAGGTTTAATAGTAACACCTAAGGGACTTGAGTTCAATCTTTGTCCAGGTAGAGAGTGCTCACCAATGAAGAGTCCCGAACTTGGATAAAATAGCTAATTAGTGCTTATGGTTTCCAATAACATTTAAGTTGTCATTGTTCTGTGAAGAAATTATCTATTAATTAAGCTGATACGCGCCATCTGTACAACTGAATAATATATTTTTCGTTTACATCACAGACTGATTTTAACAAAACCCGATAAGGGGAAGTAATAGTTGTATAGTGCTTGCCGGTAAAACATTGCGTTCCAACTTGTTATCTGAAAGTTAACCAAGTGATAGGAGATTCAAAGCACTTGAGTTTAGCCTCTGATGGGGTTGTGACTACATTCTAATGAACAGTCTCGTGGTTGTTTGACTGAATCACATTCATCATAAAGGCTATAACACTCAATATTCTTTATAGTTTCCACATAAATAATGATGTCAGCACACTCCTTCGATTCTCAACTTGAACGTAAAATAAAATAACGTCCTTTAAGAATAGCTACTTGAAGGGTGTTGTAAAGTATATGCTAGTAAATGTAGTAAGGCCGTCTTTTTTCTATCTAGAAATTGTCAGACTTATGTAGTGATAAGTAAATAAAGGTCATTGAAGACTTTTAAATCAGTATAAACTAATATGAGTCAGATTTTAAATAAAAGGTGAGATATTAAAACAAACAAGATAGTCACCAGGCACGTAACTTCAGACAAACTAAATATTGGTATTATTGGTATTATCATCAGTATGGTTAACATTATTTTTGTAACCGAGGTAATTACGATTATCAGTGGACCAGCCATCGACCGTATGTAGCATAAGTACTTTTAAAAATGATTACAGCCAATTTACGTAATAAAAATGTCAATAGTTTAATATTAAAATGAAAAATTTCAAACACTGAATTTTGTTTGCCAAATTGAACAAATCTAAAAATAAACAATATTGCAAAAATTGGCAATAAATCCTCATATTACAAGGTTTTTTATTACCTGAAAATGGCCTACAGTTGCAATGATTAGAAGTGAGTATCAAGAGTTTGAAATAATTTATCAATGGGATTAAAAAGGGTGTTTGAAATGAGACAAAAAACAAATTAAGAACGAGAAGACATGAAATGTTACTTCAAAAACTGTATTTGCGACTTATGTATATTTATATATTGAAATACTTCTACTGAGGTCACTTCCAGATGTATTTCGCAACATGCTTTACGTGGGGAAGCAAGCATTTAGAAATAACCTCTATTTAGTTTTATGAATATGTTCCTACAAAACGTATTCCTTAAAGTAGGGATTATTAACATATGTGATCGTTAAATTCTTAATGGTTTGTAAATACAAAGTGGATACCCCCTTAGTTCTTAAAATATTCAACAAACAACGAACACCCAATGTAACTAGATTGAAATGGGAAAGTTCCAGTTCATTCAGCATTTAACTGTATAATTACTCAATGAATCCGAACATAATTATCCAAAGTAAATGAAATGAATTTTAGCATAATATTCAGTTAAAAATTTATTTGAAAGGAAGCGTACAGCACAACCAAAAATCAATCAGTTCATGTTTATTTTCATATAATTATAACAGATGACTTTGACTTAAGATATTCAATTAAATTTAGTCGCTCTTAAAAAGCAATCAGTGGGGTTGTAACTCCGCCAAGTACTATTGTTAACTAGTTCGTGAAGTAGTTCAATTCAAGTCATGAGTTATAACTAACACAATGAACTATTTTCATAATGTAGACTTTAGTGGTTGTCTGTATACTGATTGACTGGTTAGAAGTGCTTATTGTTGTTTTTGTTCAGCCCCTTGGCGTTAGTCGACTATTGATAATCAATTCCTAGCAAAGCTATGAGGACAAGTCAGTGAGTATTACGGTGCCTTGATTTGGTCTCAGGTAGTTGAAGGCAGTTGGTAAGAATACCTCAAGTGGGTCTCGTGATGGTTCGGTTCATCAGGAACACGTATCTGTAGTCTGGTAAACATTAAAATTCATTCACAACTCACTAAACTCAACATTAGTTAATACTAAGTCAATAGTTAGTGTAAATATCCCAGTCTTGCAGGAAGTCATCAACAGCCGTAACATCTCCGACCATGACTCTATATAATTCAATTTTAGATTGACTAAGATTGCAGATGAGTGTTGTTGAAGAGTTTCAAGTGGTGAAACACTTACTTATATCTTGGATTTCCTGAAAATTAATAATTTCGAATATTTTATAACCTTGCAACAAAACTAGTAATAAACGTTCCAATATTTAAACGATCGTTTCGAGTAAATGTATTCTCACCCATTAATACGAATAAAGGTGAATACATATGATTGTCTATGCAAAAATTTAGAGAAATAATTATGTTGATGATAATACTTGTAAGTTGAGAATCCTAGTTTTTTTGTTATTGAGAGCAGAATACAGTTTAGTAAAATCTTTTGATATGTTTTGAAATTAATTCACGAAACTAGATAATGGAGTATAGGTTGTCATGTCTTAGTGTGAACCAAATGATTTGACCCATTTTCTTTTGTTTTATAAATAAGAATGGATTTTTTAAATGTTAAATGTAATCCTGAGTAATAACAATATGAAAGTTCTGTAATAACTATGCTTTCATCCTTTTTTCTACCTTCACAATAAAAAAGTAACATTGGAACAGATAATGAACTTGTGGTAGTGTCAAAGATAGGTGAACATACTACTTATTAATCAATATTAGTAACTAGCGAAATGTCTTAATTTGAACAAAACATTTTCATGGTGTGGTTAAGTAAATTTAAACTAAAATATCAGTGTAAGAGGATATGTTTAATTTATTCCAGTTATCACTATATTAAAGCCAATGTTGTCGAAAATGTACCAATGAAAACTCGTCATATGTCAGTGATAAAGAAAGAGTATAATTTTTTAATAAGTAAAATCTATTTTTTGTACAATTTTCGCTTTTACAAGTACAAGACATAGAAACGAATCAATAATTAAATCATGCCACTTTCAGGTATTGGTCTCCTGGTTTATACAGAGAGACCAAAGGTGATGAGTTCGACTCCCGTATGCATGATTGTTGACGCACACTGCTGAGGAGACCATCCGAGGAAGAAACGGCTATCCCCTACTTCCAGGCTTTCACTGTAGGTTTTACATTGATTGATTTTTTGATTTCAATTAAAAACCAATAATCTCCACAACCCTATAATGACAATTCACTTAAATCTAATTGCGTAGTCAAATCATTTGGTTCACACTAAGACATGACAACCTATACTCCATTATCTAGTTTCGTGAATTAATTTCAAAACATATCAAAAGATTTTACTAAACTGTATTCTGCTCTCAATAACAAAAAACTAGGATTCTCAACTTACAAGTATTATCATCAACATAATTATTTCTCTAAATTTTTGCATAGACAATCATATGTATTCACCTTTATTCGTATTAATGGGTGAGAATCCATTTACTCGAAACGATCGTTTAAATATTGGAACGTTTATTGCTAGTTTTTTTTGAAAGATTATAAAATATTCAAAATTATTAATTTGCAGGAAATTCAAAATATAAGTGTTTCGCTACGTGAAACTCTTCAACAATACTCATTGATAAAACAAAAGAATATGGGTCTATCCAAATTCTGTTAAATGAATAAAGAAACAAAATAGAACATCTAAGATTTACTTACCGTTGTAATATAATTCACTTATAATATATAAATACAATAATACCGATAATATCCAATTTGATATAAACATTATATGGTAGATGTATTATTGTTGTTTATAGATATTTTGGATACATTTAACTAATTGCATGATTATTACTGATAAATAAGAAAACAATAAAAGGTTATTTATTATTAAATAAATGCAAACTTGTATTATTCATTATAGTTGATAACTTGAAAAAAATAGAAAAAAAAATTATTAGTTTCCTATTGAATTTATTCATATATCACTGGTATAAATGTAATCAGGAAACAAAATAGTTACTAAGTCACTATTTGTTTTTCATCAATATTTTGAAGAAGAAGAAGACAACGAAGAAGAAAAGGAAGATTATTATTATTATTATTGATCTACTATTGTTAATTTTGTTTGAACTTGATAAATTTTCAAATTTTTTTTTGTTTACTAATAAAGATGTAAATCCAATCAGTTGATAATCATTCTTTGTTTCAATATTTGTAAAAAGAAAAGAGAAATTCGATTTCGTTTTGTTTGTTTGTTTGTTTGTTTGTTGTTGTTGTTTTGGAATAGTAATTGTATCAAGATATTTTCATGCCTTTTTATGAAATGACTTCAATTATGATGTGTTCTTTCATTAGACAGAAAAATATTTCTAATTGAAATCTAAAAATAACAACCAGTAGATGAGTAGGTTACATTGTGTGCGTTGTATGGTGATTATATATATAAATGAGTGTGTACACATGAAGTAATTGGTATTTGTAAGGCACCAGCCTTGATATACATAGAGATATTAACACACACACAGAGAGAGACAAGTAAACTACACTTTGATGCATAACACCAATAGGATTGATTTATTCATAAATATATTCACATGACAAAGTAATTTTGAGAATAGTGTATACAAAGGGTAATGCAAAAAGTTGTATATGTGTAATTTTTACTGTTTTAAAAAGAATGCTATTTTATTAAAAAATGTCTGTGAATTTTACCAGAAACAATGACCAAGAAAACTAAAATGGAGTTTACAGATTTTTGCTCAATTTATTAACTAGATCTGAATTTGATAGTTTTGTTAGAACGTTGATTTATTACAATAGAGGTCGACATAAGTCTGCGATCTCCAATGAATATTGATGCCAAAGATATTCTGTGATATCTACTAAAATTCAATCCCAGATACCCGACCGTAACTTCTAAACTAAGATAAAAATGATCATCGATCCCAGCGTCTTAATGAAGCAGAATTGACCAAGTTGTTTACCATTTGATCATGCTAAGCAGGTGAATTTGATAGTTCTGAAATTAATGGTAAAAACTACCAGGTACTAGGATAAAACTATATGGATGACGGTTAGTTACCGTAAGATGCCTCATATAGATAATAAACATCAGATTTTGATTATTTGAATGATATACCCGTTAGTTATCCGACCGAATAAACTTTTAATAAGTCGAAACAACTATACATTCATTTGTATTGCTTACGTACGATGGAAGTGCCAATTGAGTACTACTGTTAGTTGTAGAATATCAGATTAAGATAGAGAGAATTTGTTGGTCAAGATTTAAACTTTCCCGAATACTGAATATCTGATATGGGGGGTGGCGACGACATGGCTTGGAAATTTTTAAACATAATCAGGTCAGCTAGATTTTTTATCTGATTATTTATAGTGTATTTTAGCAGGTTACATATTTATATAACAATTAATCCTAGAGATCTAATGAGTAGACTACTTCGAAATGCTTCATTACATTGCTGTACTTATGAATGATGGCATTTAAATCCTTTTTAACTGTCTTATTTGATTATCATTCAATAAAAATAACATTAACAGTATCATCTAATGCCTATGTTATTTATCCATCTGTTGGACTTTGTACGTTTCATATAGCTTTGGTTAGGTTTTCTACTTTGGCGTCAGACAGTAAGAGACTGTTGGTACTTAATGACTTTATTTATCTTTAGAAAGTAAGCAATCGACCGAAATGTAATTTTTGTCAACATAACCATATGAATGAATGATATAATAAATCAACTAATTAACACCAGTATAGTTTACATGAGTAGTATCAGTTTAGGTTTTTAGTATGTTCTATTAAGTCTCATAACGCTACCCTTTTGATTTATTGGAGATCAACAACTGAAAGCTACTATTTCAAAAGAAAAAACAATAGAGTGGATTAATTTATATCTACTATGTTTCAGTGTATATCCTTATCATTTTGAAAAATAACTGGCAAATTCCTCTGATAAAAAATTTCAATTAACCAGATTTGCTTAAAATCAATTATTTTGCTACAATTAATTTAAAATGGGTTTGTAAGATAACTTACAGACTAAAAAGGTGTTCACCTATATCTATTTCAAATCGAATGCTCTCTAATAATGTGTTTTGAGAGATAGGATTGGGTGACAAACAAGTACTTGGTTTATGAAATACAGTAGTTCTAAGGTCGGTGATTAAATAGATTCTTCTGCAATTTTCTCTCAGACTTTCAGAGTTAAACACGATAATACATCATTTTTGGATGAGAAACCGATGAAATAAACTTCCATTGATTCCTGATTAATAAGTTCGAATTGTTTTACACTATCCACTGTCTCATTTTGGGAGGCTTCTTCGTCACTATGACGTGCCTGAAAAATAGTCAATATCATACGGAACTCCTATGATGGACTAAACTGCCAAATTGTCCACGGAGGACAACTCACCGACTCGTTTGAATTAAAGACCGGTGTTAGGCAAGGTTGCCTACTCTAAACCTTTCTCTTTCTCCTGGTGATCGACTGTATTATGAAGACGTCAACATCTGGAGGGAGGCACGGGATACAGTGGACAGATAGGATGCGGCTGGACGATTTAGACTTCGCGGATGATCTGGCTCTTCTATCACAAACGCAACAACAAATGCAGGAGAAAACGACCAGTGTAGCAGCAGCCTCAGCAGCAGTAGGTCTCAATATAAACAAAGGGAAAAGCAAGACTCTCCGATACAACACAATATGCACCAATCAAATTACACTTGACGGAGAAGCTTTGGAGGATGTGGAAACCTTTACATATCTGGGCAGCATCATTGATGAACACAGTGGATCAGATGCAGATGTGAGGGTTGCGGATCGGCAAAGCAAGAGCAGCATACCTAAAACTGAAGAACATCTAGAACTTAAAACAATTGTCAATCAACACGAAGATCAGAATTTTCAATACAAATGTCAAGACAGTTATACTGTATGGGGCGGAAACCTGGAGAACTACGAAAGCCATCATCCAGAAGATACAGGTGTTTATTAACATTTGTCCACGCAAGATACTTTGGAACCGTTGACCAGACACTATCAGCAACAACCTACTGTGGGAGAGAACAAACCAGGTTTCAGTGGAGGAAGAATTGCTAGAAGTGGATAGGACACACATTGAGGAAATCACTCAACTGCGTCACAAAACAAGCTCTCACATGAAATCCTGAAGGCCAAAGGAAAAGAGGAAGACCAAAGAAAAACTTAATCATATTATGAGACATTTGCTTAATTTGATTGATAAAATGCTGTTTTATTGTTAAAATGTTTGAAATTCATTAGTCATAATTAGTTACTAAAACTTATAGAGTTCATTTTAGGTTTGTCATTGGTGAGGCCAGAGTTGTTATTAAGATAATGAATAATAAGTTGTAATAACCAACATTGTTGTACATTGTGATGTTCATTTGCATTCACTTGATGTAAGTCTTCAGTAAAAACGAATTTTGGCGTTTAAAATTTTTAAAAATATGACCAACTTATGACATTTTAAAGTACAATAAAAATAAAATGTAAATGAAAATAAACCACCATGGAAAACCTGGAAGCACTGGACGGCTGTTTCGTCCTAAAGTGGGACTCCTCAATTGACTCACGCTTTCAACTATGAAAATATTAAATCTCCACAAAAAACCCCTTATGATAGTAAGTGAAAATGTTTATCATTCCGCTGTAACTTTTCAACAGTCATGCCCCCCCCAAAAAAAGTTATTACATTCAACAAATATTACAAACACACTGATATACGATCAATTTATTGATTATTTAATCTTTACTCTTCACTATTGAAAGGTAAACCAATTTCAAACAACTAACTATTCATTTGAATGTAAATGAATTATCGATTACCATGTACTTATTTTATTGTAAATTTTGTCTGGTACAGTGAAGGATATACTAAACTCATGTGTACCTTTCCGACCACAAGACTGAATATATATATATATATATATATATATATATATATATATATATATAGAGAGAGAGAGAGAGAGAGGAAACGATTTTCAAAACACTTTAATAGTTCAATAATAGAAAGGAAATACTGAATGAAATAATAAGTTCATCCATTCTACTTTTTTCTTAAAAAAGTTTTCTATTTTACTTAAACTCAGTTTACTACCAAATAAGTTTTGATATAGGTGAAAGTAATTCATTTCTAATTATTTGAAACAAATCACTTAGATTAAATTTAAAAATTTCATTAAAAAGAAAAAAACAACTAGTGTTGTATCCTAGTGAAAAAATAAATACGGTTAACTTCCGGGACTTATTAATGGACGATTACTCTATGTATATTCTTACTGTTTAACTGTTGAGTAACTGGATTGTATCTATCTATATTCATCTTATTAGAAGCTTCATTTTGACTTATGGATTATTATTATACGAATTACTGTTCCTAAATTATATTCAGTTTATTGATTATTGTATCCCATGTTCATAGCCACATTTCGCTTGATCTTGTACAAATATTATTTTCTATTTTATGGTATGATGCGGTCTGTCTGTCTGGTATATAAACCAAGTATGCTTGAAATAAATGGTTCGCATAGCTGAAGCTGTAATTGGTGTTCTGGACTCAATTGGAAGGACTAGGCTGACAAGAGACCAATAAAGATGTTAGACTACTCATACTGGTCGAATGTCATTGATTTGTCACAGTGTGAAGATAAGACAAGTCGCATTCCGATAACTTACGTGATAAAAACCGGACATAAAATCAATAAAGTCACAACAACTAGTAGTGTGAAATTTTGAAACACAATAAAAAACGTTTAAATGTAATTAAAAACAAAGTCAACCAATTGCAATGATGAATTTATTTGACGAACTTGGAGGATTTTGAAGAAAAATTTAGTGAGTACGAAAGAATTATGTAAACTGTTAAGGGATGTAGCATTGAACAAACTCAAAACAAACATTACCTATTAGATAAGATACATTTTTAATACATCTGATATTTTTGGCGTAGATAACTGACATGGTTAATATCTATATTGAATAAGCAACTGGGATATGCTATTACCTTTGCCAGAAGAAAAATCTATGGTTTTATTGACAAAAGAAAACTAGCATGAATTAGAAGTCTAGTAAAAACATATAGAAGTACCTATAATAAAGTTTTTAAATGTTGCTGTTAAGTCATAATCGTACCTTATCAAGCTTGTTTACCTTTATAAAATGTAACAACAGTAAAATAACCTTAATATTCATCCAAACATCACAATAAAGAAGGTAGGTCTTGATAACAAAGCGTTTTATTTCATGAAGTAAAAAATTTAATACAACAATTTTCTTTACATAGTAACTATAATAAACTTAGCAGCATATAATAAAGAGAAATGGAGAAGTAACCAATTAAAGGATAGCAAAAGCCAATTCGGTAAGATGAATTAAAAGTAATCGAGGATATGCTTATTTACTAGCAAAAGGAAAAAAACCTAATTTATTTGAGACTTTCCTAACAGATACCTAACCTTGTTATATAAGTAGTATACAATTTCCGTTCGTATTTTGAGCAATTTTAAATTGAAAATAAACTTCTAGTGTACAATTAATTGGATTTCCGAAAATGACTAACGAAATTCATGTATCTGGATCACTTTAAATCTATGACATGTCGATCACAATTCAAAATTACAACATATCAGGTGTAAGCTGAATTTTACATACGCGATTTAATTAGCAGTGGAATCAAGGACGCCAGTTTCGTACCGTTTGGGACTCGTCAGCTAAATGAACCTACATCTCAAAGTTGATGTTCACTCCAATACTCCAACCCAATACCATCCGCTTCAATTGCCATCGTGTTATAAACTTGGCTTCTGAGTCCAGTTAACCATTTACTTATTCTATGTGTATGAGTTTTAATTCAGTTAGTTGATTCAGTCAAGTTGCAGTCAAAATATCAACAATGGGATAACTCAACCTATTTCAAGCTGATGTAATATTCAAAAATTTTATTTAGTAGGGTAAAGCAGAAATAAATTCTTCATAGATGTATGTAGGATTTGAAAGAGCAGTGGAAAGCAGTTTAGATGCCTTTCAAAAAAATCTAACCCTATTTAATGTCACTGTTTTAAAATTTCGATTATCACGGAAAGACATAACTGCAACAGAATTTTTCATAGTTAAATCGTGATTCAACTTATCTTAGCCCAACAAAGTATAAATACTATGAACGGAAAAGTAAACTGTTGTTTTAATGATTACAGTAAAGTTCTCCTCATACTGTACAATTAGAAACCTAATGACAGACGGTTGGGATAATATAATGCTTTAATCTCTTATCCTACTCGATTTCTTCCCCACACACATGGGTAAAAAAAACACTGGAAAACATTTTGAAGTTGTAATCTCAATGTTAGACAATTTATCGATATAGATTTGATTTTGATCTAAAACAGCCTCTTTATATGTACATGTAAACGCTGTGATATAACAGATAAAGATGTACTATCGTAGTAATTAAAGTAGCTAGTTGATTAAACCACCTAATATTTGTAACAATAATCAAGAGTATTACACGTTTAATAAACTTTCGTGATACATATACTAAAAGCAATCAGAATATCAACCATTGTAATAAGCGGATAGATCTTAATGTTTGGTTAAGGTTTCCTATTCACTCCCCGATTCAAATATATGCAAAAGATAAGTTATAGTTTTTCACTGGACTCTCCAACTTCTTTGTAGTAAGGTACATTGGTCACAATCTTAGTTGATTAGTACCGAAGACAAATTTGTCCAAATTTTTGATTTGTAACGAAACCGAATAGGATAAGGAAATCGCCATATTACTTTCCAAAAATTTTCACTTGTGAAACGTTTTTAAGATTTTTGTGGTAGAAACAAGTGACCGAAGAATTCAAAGTTTTTAAAAAAAATTCACATTCACAATTTAATTTATTGTCAATGTATTTTATTTCTACGTATTCATCTTCATCCCAGTGACAATTCCCTGTTTCTATTTGATCTACGAAAATTTTTTTCAGTCGGGATTATGGGATCTCGGTTTTGAGAGTGAACAGTCTAGAATTAACTTTATTACATACATAATGTCTGTTTACAATAATCAGTAGCTTCAACACACAAACCCCAGAAATTTTATGTTCAGAAGACAAGCTACTTTTAAGTAGTATAAACGTAGCTGCTTGGTAAAAATTAGTCTGATATGGTCTATTCAAAATACTGTCGAATTTCCAAGATGTGTTTAAATGTTTTTATTCATACGTCGGTGATTAAGTTGTTTAAGTAGCAAGTCACTAAATTTTAGGGCATATATATCACTGAACTTAAGCTCATTTATATGCAATAAAAGTGAACACAAAATTTGATGAATGGACAGGGTTTCGAGACCATTGAAATGAATGACAAAAATTTAGTACCAATTTTGCATACATTTTGCACTGAAATTTTCTTTCAGTCATTGGAAATTTACGCTTAGTTTAGTATTTATTGATGGACACTGATTTAAAGTATTGTGATACCACTAAACTTTCCTCCTTTTATTATCAAAAAGCATACTGATCAGTTAGGTTCCTAATGATATTTCAAGGATTTCTATTACTTAAATGGTTTCTAAATTTGTGTCGTCAAAGGAATGAGTTAGAGAGTCCCTTTAAGAGTTACATGTTCATTGGAACAAGCATATTAGGAAGAACTCCTGAAGCCTAGCCCGGTGATAAAAAATTCAAGAGTATATTTTAGAAAAAATTAGAGGAACAGTCATTCTATTGTAAAAGTGATGTTTACACCGAAATAGAATGACATGATATCCAAATAACTGAAAACAACAGTGATATCTGCAAGTTAGCCAAGCCAGAAAGTTATGAAATATTTGTCAATTTCAGTGGCGTCTACTGATTCAACAGATGCAAGAAAACTGTTTTCCAGCTCTTTAGTTACTATTCTGTGACTAGCAGAATTTGAGATGTTAATAAGCCCTTCACCTTGACTCTCAACGATTTTGGAAACTTTAAAACTAATTTAGAATGAGTCAGAACAGGACACCTTGAAGAATGAGTTTTGAGGACCTCCAAGAATGATGGTAAAGTTTTAGTAATTAGAATAACTGAGGTATATGCTGAAGTTTGGAAACTTCAAATAATCCAATCTGATTTGGTTGGTTAGCTGATAGTCCCAGTTTATGAGAAAGGATAGAAATCCTCTTGTAATAACCACAGAGAAGTCATTTTGACCAGTACAGAACCGGAGAAACTAGCCTCAAGTTATCTAAGGCTTAACTAGGGCTGATTGTCGTAACTTTGGTTGGAGAATTTGTGTGGTATGATTCAGAATTAGTCTCTGAGTGATTAATTAATTCACTCTTTATTTCACTTTGGACAGAGTTTCGAAAATGCTTTTTACGTTCTTTGTACCATAGATACTTTCTTTCTGCTCCAAATATATTCTCTGCGTTAAATGGGATGTTATGATCTTTAATAATACTAACAGTTCTATTACTCTGGTATGTCTTGATTATTTTATCTCGGTGACAACTTGAAATGATCGACAAATGTTCCCGGTTCTACACTGCTATGACTGACCTAATTGAATTTATATAAACCAAGAATTATCATATGATGAATTCGAGGAAGAATACAAGTGATTGTCTGATTTCATTCTGAACAAGAGTACTACGGTAAACTAAAACAGCTGAGAACTGGTAAATGATGTTGGAATTTAAGAAAGTGATATCACCACTCATTTTATGTACAAGATAAAATGGAATTAAGTAATAGTGACTGTTTTTTTCATTTTTCTATTATTTTAGTATTAATAATGTAACCTAGAATCTTTGTTCCTTTTTCAATCTCTTGCAGTGATTTATCTGAATAAAAAGCCTCCTAGTTGCAATGGAATAATTGCAATACAAAAACTATTAGTTTGTGAATAGCAGTTCTGTTATCGTATTTGAAAACAGCTTCAATTTAGGAATGACATCAACATAAGTGAAAGATAATAATACGATAATTCTTATACCGGCTTTGAAACTCCATTATGCACACTAACTTCACAATGAATAGAGCCATTCTTAGGTAAGTACTGAGTCGGAATACAGTGGTATTAAATAATTGTTACTTCATATTATGAATTAAATGAGGTTGGATTATGATTAACCACATCACTAAATTAGAAAATGTCTCAAACGTTGCATACTGCTGAGATCTTTTACTCAGGATTTATTCATGAGATATATGAAGGGTACGTCATATCTTCGCAACAAGGTGTCTAGACAAATCTCAGTAGCGGTAAATTCCGTACTAGTGCTAATAGTAGAAAAGAATCGGCATATAAAATATGACTCAAGAACGAATTCGTGGAAGATAAAAGGATTAAAAGATAGCTCCAGAACTCAAGATCTAAGGGAAGACAAAATGTATATCATCGCAGCCGATTCTGAGACGTCACACACTGTATTCAACCATTGATTTCGACTACTGAGCCCATCCCAGCCAATTTTAAACTTAATAACATAGTTCAACCACCAGTCAATGACTTCATGAACTAATACCTCATCTTGGTCTATAAGGTCCCATCTTTTGTCTACCCTACTCCTGCAATATCAAGTGTCGCACGTCTAGTAGAGCGGTTGTTCGGCATCCGTAATACTTACCTCAATTGATGAAAATCCGCTAGCTTGTTAGCTGATTAGCCATACTTAATTAATACCGTTGGTTTTATTTCAGGATTACTCACTTGATGTTCCCAACATACAGGAGTGATGGTTTTGAGACATCTATGATCAAATGCCAGTAACCTACATATCTCCTGTATTCTTAAAAACTACGTTTTACATCAATAAGGTAAAACAGTAGAACACGATGCATAAACTCGTTATTAATTTGAATACTCACAAGTTAATAACACAGACTAAGTGATTTCGTGAATACCACTTAACAATTACATTAGATGATAACCATACAAAGATATCCGTTATTTGAGCCTCCATAATATCAGAGTAGAGAATAAAGAAAACAGAATGACAGTGAGATGTGCATTTATCAAATAACATTGGTAATAGTATAGATTAATAATCTTTCCAGTTGAAATATCAACAAATTACATATATATATATGTATAAAAAGAAACGGGAAATGAAAACGCAGAAAAACTAATCTGCAATTAAAACTGAAAAATAGACCAGATAATATTTCCTTGATTGTTGTTCTCAAACGTAAAGTGAGTTGACTATAATATTTAATAGTGTGAATATAGTTATATCTAGTGATACGCGCGACATACTTATCTATACTGATTGTTACTAATGGTAATATGTATATATATCGAAAAGAAAATAGTAGTATTGTGTGTGAAACTTGTGATTATAAAAAGAGAACAAAGAGCTAAGCTACTAACATAATCATCAGTAATATATATATAAATATGTACACATGTTAGATGTAGTGGTGCACAGAATACAACAGATAACCGGGATTACAGGGAAATAATGAGGGGAAATCTATGTATTAAGAACACACACATATGCCTGCATCAAAGAGTACCCAAACACCTTTGACAGAGATGGTTGGAAAAACCACAACTATTGACAAAGTTCCAGAAAACAAGACAAGCAGAGGAATATTTGGAAAAGTACAGTTATTTACCAAAATGGAAAGTATTTACAGTTAAATCTGTGCTAGTATGTATACTAACGAAGATATTAGCAATAAAATTGTAAGTGCCATTTATACAAATGTGGCGCGTGAAACAGTGAAAAAACAAGTACAATGTATGAATCAAATATTCATGGCCAGCTATTAATCATTACAATAATAATAACAAATATTCATAAAAAATGTCAAACTATTTAGAAATAACATCAACTTCAGAAGTAGTCAATGAATTATTACTATTACTGGTGATTGTTTCATCTAGTCTACTCTCTGTTACTGTTGTAATAGTAGTATGATTAGGTAGTGATAATAAATCAGTAACACCTGATGATGGGACTATTGTGACTTTAGTATTCTCCTCTTGATTTTCTGCAGTGTCAGCACCTAAAGTGACTGAGACAGTTTTTATACCAGAATTGGCAGAACCTTGCATTGATACTGTTGTTGTGGATTCTGTCGAATTGTTTGTTCCATTATTTGGTGTAAACCTCTGAATATCACTGCGTAAAAGTTCCATTAGAAGAGAATTAGTTGATAAATAAGAAGATAGATCCAAATCAACAAGCATCAAGCGAGCAGCCTGACTTGTTTTGCGTAGTTCAGGAATTCGATTGATCAATTTGTTAAACTTATCATTTATATCAGGTGACGACTTGGTGACATAATCCATTAGTAGCCGTCGAACAGATTCTTGATAGGATCGAACTTGAGAACTTGCTTTTAAATTGTTCAAGTCTGATTTTACAAAATAATCAAAAAATGTTTTTAATTTTAGACCAGTCAGCATATCAGAAAAGCTTAACTTAGAAATCATGTACACTTCTATCATTAAAGTTTAAATTATTAAACTACACCTACTTGTCTAAAACCACCAATCGCTATTTATGTGTGTTTATTTCATAGCCATTAGATAATTTTGCACTATAATAAGTCTGGAATTGTTTTTTACAGAATTTAGTGGTTATAAAATGGCTGCGATATTAATCTAAAAGTTATTTGCTTGCCCATTGTTGTATATCGTAATCAGTTGTAGTTTATACTGTTCATACAGTTCATACTTTTTTCAGAAATGTTCGTTCAATATTGTTCATTTGAGCACGAGATGCGCCATAAGTCGTAAATTTTACCTGAAGACGATGACATAAGTATAGTTTATCAAGCGACCATATGGAACTTGAAACCTGGAATTCACATACTCTTTTAAGTGAGTACACCACATTAGCACAGCGAAATAAAATTATCAAGTCAAATCCTGAACATGGATACTACCTTGACGTGGTGATCGTGCTTGCCCATCATGACGAACAATCGAGCAATATTAAATGTAACGTTTATTCCTTAAAGTCCTACCACTCCAGGAAGGTAGAGAAGATTATAAGCAGCAGCTTAAGGCTTCAGAAAGAAGTCATACTGTTGATCGTACTTGGAAGTAATGATAATTTTTTCCTCGGATAACCAGCACCTCCGGTGATGCCACCTTATTACAAAGAAAAGGGTTAGAAAACGTCGACTACGAAAATGTCACACCTTAAATAACTCCACAGATTTATATCTCTGGAAGCAGGGCTTTTGAACTACGTAGTTAAGATATCAAAAATTCCGCGCAATAATGCCGTATGTGACCGGTCCCAAACAGTTATCCCTTAGTTTTTTTTGGTCATGCCTTCACACCTTCAAGTCCACTACTACTAATGCAGTTTCCTTATCAGGGCTACAAGGTGCATGGTTCCGCAATATGAGCAGCTAAAGTGAAAATCGCTCTCGTACCTTCTAGCAGCACTCCAGATAGCCTTGAATAGTTAATTAGGATATATATATATATATACATATATATATATGGTCTTATTTCTGAATGATTGCCTTCAGAGGTTTTTTTCCTAATCTTTGTCTTTGCATTCCTGTTCAATATTTTGTACCGTTCATCTCGAAATACATGACTAATTGATCTCTCCTATTCAGTTTAGAGAACGCAACATAAAAAACAGTAGTTAAAATGCCAGCCATTGCATATATCATTACATCATATACACTAGATAATTTCTTCCACGATCTCAAGATATAAGATTAGTCTTGGATGGCCTTCTAATCTAACATTGTTGAGATAACTAAAACAACTGATTAACAAAACTGTTTCTTTTGGAGTTAAAACTCTACATAAAATAAAGAATGATCGACAGAAATTTGATCAAATTAAAAACCTTTCTAAGTGAATACAAATGTAAATTGTTGAATGACTTCATTTAATGAGCCTACTATGTCATTGAGAACTCACCTGCTTGCATTAGGACAATGACCTTTAAACATGCATATTCCACAATATCCAGTTGTAATCTTGTTAAAGATTGAGTGAGTTGTAAAATTCTCTCAACTATTTCTTCAGCACCCATTTCACGTGCAGCTTCAAGATTGATACATTTACTTGAGGTGAGGCGAATTTCCTAAGAACAATACATTTATTTACAGAATAATAATAATAGGCTACATTGACAATAGTAAAATCACGGTTGATACAACACCAGTAAGGCCTACCGGATTAGATAAATAAAATATGTTCAAACTGTTGAAGTGATTAATGCATTGAAAGGAACGACGAAATTGTGTGTTAAGTGTTATTTTTCTTTTGAAATCATAATATAGAATCAAGTACTCAAAACCGATTGCTAACCGTGGACATAAGAATAATTCTGCTAAATTGTCTAATAATTTATCGATCCGGAAAGTCAAGTCGTTTCAAAACAGCTCAGTTGTTTAACAGAAAACCAACAGAAGAAAGAAAACATTTTTTAAAAATACACAAATTTGTCCGATATTTTAGATCCTAAAAAAGATGTTTAAGCTCTCTAGTCAAGTAAGTTGTTTTGGTGAACATCCCCTGATAGATAAAATGTAACATACTGAATCCTGTTTTAATCCAAGATGTATTACACCAAACAAACATCTGGTAAAACCACTCCAAGAAAATAGATATCAATTTTAGTATACTATCAAATGAATTAAACTATTTAACCTGAGAACTCATTAGATAATAACTTTGTTTATGTTACCTTACATATTTTACTATGACTGAGTTACTGAGGTGTAATGCTAAATAACACTAAATAACCAGTCAATCGAATGGGATTTACAGTAGTATTACAAGACATACAATGACATACATACACAGAGAAATTTGAACACTTACCGAAGGAGTAGGCAAAGAGCGCCAGCAACAATCAAGACACAGTAGGTCTGCCCAACAATTTTGTATTAAAAGGATTTGATCGTCCGTGTCGAGTAAAGAGAAGTCTGGAAGTGCTCGAGACCAACGCACTGTTCGATATAAACGTTGGTCTGCCAAATTCAACAGTGCGCGGTACACAGCTGCCTCGTCATCTGAAACCCCCTCAGGTGCTGCAGTTTCTGACGCAACCGCAGAATCGATTTCTAATGCATCTTCGGGTTCCGCTTCTATGGTTTCCTCTACAAGGAGGATATCCCGAATAATCTAGGGTACATGGGAAATACAAAATGAATCACTTATAATGGGAATTATGGTCTTTTGAGGCAACCCGTAGTAACAGAAATAAACAACATCTTAATGACCATCTGTTATTCACCTAACAGATTATTTTTATTAGCATCTTCATTATTGTACGATATGATATATTTTACACTTTGAAGACAGGATTTTTTGGTGAAAAGAAATGATACTAATGATGGCTTTGTTAGGTGATTAGAGGGAGCCCACAGAGAACCCTGGACGTAAGTTTCGTGCTAGCTAATACTAGTCAGCAAGGAATACCTAGGATCTTGAGGGAGGCCAGTTCCAAGGCCTAAAAGTCGATTGCCCTCAATCATTTACCTATATGGATAACAGTAACGATGCGAGAATTCACACAAAAGATATCGATGAGAAAACTAATGGTATGAGATTGTGATAGGACTAGAGACACGATGCAACAAATGACGATTAGTCCAACTCAGATACAACAAAATAATGTGATTGACTTCAAGTAATAGAATAAGTAGCATATAAAAAATAAAGAAAAAACATAAAATTACCTTTGGGAGTTGTTCCCTGGTACGTGGAATTGACTCGTTCGAACCACCGATAATTACCTGTCTACCTAAATACGGCGAAACGACATTTGTTGAGAGATTAGTACCACCAACAATTCCGCCTCCACATTCTAAAATATTTGGTTCAACACGCAGACTACCAGAATCTATTTCTTCTTCATCATTATCATGAGTACCGAGAACACCAGGATCCAGATAAACACCACCACCCGCGTCTTCTGAAGCTGGCAAACCATCGGGGCCTAAAGTATGCGCAGCAAGTCCGACAACAGAGCAAGAAAGTTGATCAGCATCATCTGACATAATACTTTGGTCCGTCAATCCACCTAGCATATTCCCATCCAGATCTGAAGTTGAAAATTCCATACATGAACTAGAGATGGCCAGACCAGAAGTAGAGCGATTCCCACTAACTCGTGCTGCAATCTGACGCAAATAACGTGAACCAGGATACATGCTACGTCCACCACGTGTACGATCCGAACGAATAGCTATGCGAGGAATCCATGATTTACAGATCAAAAAGTTATCTAGCATACTGAATGTTAGTATTTTCAGATACATCGAAAGTAAGCAAATACTTTACTATTCTACATGTGGGAAAATTAGATTAGAAACTCCTGAACATTTTGGATAAATAACTTAGAACATTTGGTATTAAGAATAGTTTGAGTCGACATTTAATTGTAGCTGTTACCTTGATGCAGTGGTTTTGATGGTTCAGTTGAACTATACTAACTAAGTTAGTTGGTAAGTGATATGAACAAAACCAGTAAATTTTAGATCTCATGATGGTAACTCAATGATGACTGTGCAGGGGATTTGATAATAGTAAGGCGTCTGTCACACCCAACAAGTATGTCTAGTAGTTCCATTGTCTCAGAAAAGGTTGAATCAAAAAAGTAGGATATTAATCTATTAATTTCCGAAGCCCAGAGTAAAGGTTAAAATGTATAAGGTGAACACTAGTGGACAGTAAATATTCTGAAGATTGTATTCGAAAGAATTCAAATAGCTATATATTGAACTGCCCTGTCACGCCCCTAAGATGATGGGACCATGAACACTAATCCAGTTTCTTGTCCAGGCTTACCAAAAGAAAAGATCATTCTGTGATATTGTTAGCCAGGAAGTACTAATTACTCGCCCACTGCTAACATCACTTTAGTTCACCTTATTAATTATCAACCATTTATTTATAGGGAGTACCAGAATTAGACAGAGACAAACACTGATTTAGTGACTTTCAGCATTAATTAAAAAGTGGACATAAGTCATACAGCTATCGTTGTAGAGAATCAATAAAAAACTGTCGCCCAAATCAGAACATACTTCGATGTTTTCTTTTGAGCACGAATGTATTTGCCTTACAGGAAGACTTGAGTTTATTTAAAAGATTACAATGTCAAGAGTACATTCAGGGAAGAACTAGCTAATAACTTGAAAGTAGAAACAAAGTCTTTATACTGAAGTAGTTTGGTATGATAATTAGTTTGTTACAATAAGTTGGTTAGCAAAATTTAGTAGGAAGCAAGAAATATACAAAATCTTGATACCTTTATTTGAATTAATAAATGCGTAGACTACGTTTTGAAAGGTCAGCTTTTTACGTAACATTCAGACTAGGCTACTGGGACCATGGGTTGAGGGTTTTGAAGAGCAGCTAGATTGAGTTCCAACGACCCTGCAGTTGCTATCTATTCAAAATCACTAAGAAAGGGATGTTAGGTCTTTATATTATTACGATGTCGAAAACAATACTATTAAATCCAGGTTCATAGAGTAGTCAGCTCCAATAAGTTAACTGTTGAAGTGTTTGAGGGTGGTAGTCTATGGTTATCAACTAAACTGAATTCTTAGTTATAGTTTGGGAGTTAAACTTATTTAAACTTAGGTTACTAAATGCTTCAATCCATAAGGACGGAAATTTCACTGTCATCACCATAGAGGGGTCAGCTTCACTAACATGGTTTATAGAATTATAATTGCCATAACTATTCAGTGACTACATGAAGTTTGGAATAGATACCTAAAGATCGTTCAACGTTTCCGACTATCAACGTCTTTAGAAATAGGAAAGATATATTTGTTTATTAAAAGCCCTTTTTGCATTACATTGCGAGTATCGAACCAAAGACTTCCGAGAGAAAAGATTAACCTTACAGAACATATTGACTGGTAATATATCGAGTTGTCAGCTCTAATCATCATAGGACCGGGCAAAAATGTGCGTTTTACCAAGCTGCATACAACAGTTAGACAAGACGACGTGAGCAAGATGAATAGTAGAGCAGTCGAAATAATTGTGATACTAATGATGATGTTTATTTATTTAAACACATAAATATTGGTACAAGGGGGGCACCAGATATATAAGCCACACAATGATGATAAGGAAGGTCAAATAATCACATTATAGCTTGAGAATGAAAAATTTTACAAGAAAGAATATAGGAAATGAATATAATGAATGGATTTACGCCACTACGACCAATTCTAAGCCATGTCACACAACGTCTCCAACCATTGGTCGAGACTCTAACTAGGTAGATGCATCCACTAAAATGACTTAGATCACAAGTCGATGATTTCATGGATTGAATCAACATTTTGCTTTGACTGCCCTTAGCTTTCTATCGACTTACGCCTACTACGCCAGCCAACACCAAGAGTCATGGTAGATTCTTAGGAGTAAGTAATGCATTTCTTAATCAACTCAGTTGATCAAGATTCACAATCTTACCAGACTAATGAGTTCAAATAACTCATCTCTTACTATTAATTTACATGCTGACGCTGAACAGTCCTCGAGCAACATTTTACATTTAGGAGAGAACGCATCCAAGGTATTTAATAAATACTGCATTTTGCCAGCGTCCTCATCAAATACAACTATGTCGATGGATGAGTCATCAGAAAGACCCATCGCTGAAACGTTAGATGAAGAAAGTATAATTTATAAAGAGCCTATGAAATTAGATCAGTTAATGTACGTGCAATAAATAGATATTAAGGTAAAAACCAAAAACGATTAGTAGTAAAATGCTCTGGCAAAGATATATTGTATGGTAGTCAAGCAATCTTAATCTACTTTAGACCTACATAGTTCTCAGTCCAAGTTTACCTACCTTCAATACGCATCCCTTTATCTACGCATTTTAGAAAGCGACAAGCGGGACATTTCTTGCGTGAAGCTACATTTATTTCACATCGAGAAGAAGCATTAGGACGATGACAGGCATATCTTTTAGCATTCTGAACAGTCCGTTTGAAAAAGCCTTTGCAGGATTCACAACAAAATATCCCATAATGATAACCAGAGATTTTATCCCCACAGATTGGACAGGGACCCAGTTTCGTGAACTGTTTGACATATTGCTGCCAAGTTGACTCACGCTAAAAATATTAACCAGAAGAGAATTTCGAAAGGAGAGGTTTAGGTCTAATAAAACAGGTATTTTGTGAAAACAAGAGCTGACTGCACTGTGCAAAATAAAGCTGAATATTATAGAGACAAATGTGAAACTTATACAACGCTTATGTTCGAACTAGCGATAATCAGTTATGGATGTAAAACGACCGAATTGCTCAATACAGATAAGAATTTGAGGCGATATCAGTTTTATGGTTAATATTTATTTTAATTTATTCTATAACACACAAAAGATTTGATACAATAGCGCTCCAACAAGTACGCTACACAAAGTTAAATGACGATATTGTGAAGAAACAGGATGAAGAAAACTATAAAAGGATATGGTTTAAGTGAGAACACAACCAATATATTAACGTCACCAAGATCGAATGCGCGTCTGACTTTTTATGAAAAATGCAATAGAGATCCTTTTTTGATATAGCGACCTGTTCTCTGTAATTGGGATTAACACTAATCAAATAAGAGAGAGACAATAATGTAAACTGCTTATGTGCTAAGCATCAATCTCTAAATCTAACGAGTCCAAAACTAATGGTATAAAAACAATATTAATTACAGTAAACAGACTTGTGAAATAAAATGCATGAAAGACAAAATCGCAAATTCATAAGAACAATAACCAATCGTTAGCTACTTTAGTTAACAAAAGCAACGATACCTGAGGAGTTCCGGAAGATGAAGACCCAGATGCACCTGCATTCGCTGAAATTGTCACCAATCCCATTGAACCTCCTTGACCTTGAGACGATCGTGATCCAACTGCGCCTGTATTTGAAAACAACTCAATACCAATATTTGATCCAATAAGACGAGTAGAACCTGCACTAGACACCAATCCATTGCCGCCACAAGTAGATACGCCTAATTGTCGTAAAGGAACTAAAGTGGTACCACTGCCACTACTTGAACCAGGAACGATTGTACCTGTAGAACCAACGTGAATACTAGTTCCAGCAACTGGTTGTTGTACTAGAATAATACTTCGATCAGCTGAACTTAAATTAACACTGCTTGTGTTAACAGTTTGATTATTGTTAATACCTATTCCAGAAGTACGAAGCATTGTGTGTCCTAGAAACAGGAAATGTATAGTCACTAATTTAATTCCTGTTATTTACAGTTTATGACTTATTGGGTGATTCACAGTGAAGCAATTTATTATGCAACTCAACTTATTGATTTCGAGTTCCATATCATCAACACTTCATGGCTTTATTTTTTCTATACCTATCTTCAGACGATTTTAAACTTCCATAAGTTCTCCAAATCTTCTACAATTGTTACACAATTCATTTCACCAGTCTTCGGATTGGATGCAATTACTACCTCACTTTTATGTTCCTGAATTTCGTCTTAAAGTGACCTCACCTATGTTTATTCATATATATATATATATATATATATATATATATATATCGTTATTTCAATTCTCTCCGTCACTAATGTTCATAACTTCATATTGTATCTCAGTGTTGTATTTTAATACGAATACATATGCAAGTAACTGAAGAAGAACCACAAAATAAAATGAATCTATGTTATTCTGCCTGCAATGTTGTTTTGACTTTATTCAAACTCATAAAGGGAACGAACTACATGAAATTATATTGGTGAGATTTATGTGTGCATAACTAATAAAAGATGTAAATATCTGAGACATCATGAAGGTTACTTAGATTGACGATACTTGATGATGAACCATCTGGTCAAATTAGGAACTCATTCGCATACTTCGGGGCAAACCTAGACATGGAACTCTACAGACTTCAATTAAGACAAAACTCAAACATAATTTGATCCAATCACTATATTAACCTCTGGTAGCGAAAATTCTAAGTTCAATTCTCAGTAAGGAAACTAACACTTCGAGGCATATAGAACTGATTTTTCAGATAGAAGGAAATGATCATCTTGAATTCTACTGGTAAACTACTAACTAATACAATGAAAAAATTTAAAAAAATTATCACAATGATAAAATTTGTTAATTCAGGATAACAAACAAAACAAAATATATCTCAGTTGACAAAATGAAATGATTGCATACTAGTCAATGGTACAAAAACCCTTCGAATGTAGTTATAGAAACTAAACGTTGCTCCATTCAGAAGGAATACTAATAGTGAGAGATATTTAATTCAAGTATTCGGTAGCAAAAGAATAGTTACAGATTTGGTGAAAATGGGTGATTGTTATATCTATTGAAAGTAATGTCGGAATACTAATTATACTCAGAATTAAAAATCAGGCATCTCATGCAAACATAATATATGCGAATGCAAATCAATTTAAAATTAATTTTCGCCCACCTGCTGTAACAGCACGTATGGGTGTGCTTGCAAACACTTGATTCTCTCCACCACTTGCTAGCTGAGCTGCTGGGACTAGAATGTAAGTAGGTTGTTGCTGAATTTGTTGTCTAGGATTGCTTGATTGGGCTGCGACTGGTTGTTGTGTTGCAACGGTTGGAAATGAAATTATTTGAGTAGTAGAACTGACAAAAGAAGGTATAGTGCGTACAATTTGAACTCCATCGGAACCCGGCTGTAAAAGAAGGTAAAATACAAAGCGACATATGTAGTAATATTATACTTCGGTTATTGGGCGAAAAGATATGTGAATTGATGACAACTACTTGATATTATTTATGGAGTGTTCTGAAGACTTTATTTAACTAAATTTTAGTCCCAGAGTACCGCCTTAAACAGAGTATTTAATTTCGAACTATGCTACCAAAGGTATTCTAAGTTGGTATAACAATTGATAGGAATAATAACACTGGAGTTTTGTTGTCTAGAATACCAATCGTTCAGATGATATTGGGAAATGAAATGTACTTTCTGATTATACTCACAGACGCTAATTTAGCAATGAGTCAGAAATAATATACAGACATTGAACGAGTTGGCATTACTAGAAAGTATACATTATTACAGCCGTTTAAAGCAGTCAAGATTTTAAAATTCACTTAATAATGATAGTCTAAACGAGAAGCATATAATTCATGTATAGCTAGCTTTTGGTTTAGAATTGAGTTCCTACATATAAAATTTAAATATTCAGCAAAAACCCGTTGTGAAATGATGTACGCTTATAACTTATGGAGATAATTTCGAAGTCTTGCGATAGTTTAGCTCATGTAATAGATAAATGATGAAAAATTAGTTCAAATGAGAATATACAAATCAAAACTAGATGAGACAGGTTTCTCAGTTTGTTTTCTGAAAATTAAGCGTGCTCATTTGTCAGTAACAAAGAAATTACTACACGATTGTGTAATTTCGTGAAAACCCAATCTAATTGCTGTATGATAAATCAACAAATAGTTTAAATTAAACGGCTCTTGGGTATTAACTAATATCAGGTTGTCTTACTGTCTCACCGAATTTTACAGATCCAAATGTGATGTAATTGATAGGGTAACTAGCGCGGAGTATTTCGTTTTTGGTAGATAACCACGAAATCGACAGAAAACCCTGATTAGGATTCAACGGTAAGCAATGTCTGATGAAACGGATGTTCTTAGAAGTACTCGAATCTCCCTTACCCATTGCTGCAGTCACAGACATTATCATGAAGTGCAAGCCAGGAAAAATTAGGCGGGTATTATATTTGGACGTGAGTGCATAGATCAAATATTCGCCTTTTGTCATGTTCTGGAACATAGTGGTGCCTACCGACGTCCGACTGTTGTGACCTTCCGACAGCACTCGATAGTTTATCGATAGCTATTGATATTATTTATTTATGTGAACATAAATATTGATACAGGGGGCACCAGGTATATATGCGCCACACGAAACAATAGGAATGGGAAGAGAAAAAGAAGGTAAGGTGCGTATAAGAAAAAAAACAATAACAACCACAGATTAGTGTACGTTAGTGTAATAATAGGAATAATAACGGGGGAAACGGAAAGGTACAGCCAGAAGGATTCTTTCAGTTAAGAAAGTTAGAACCACTCTTTATGTAGAAAGTAAAAGAAGGTTGCAGCAGGATCGCCAATGCCTTCTATTCTGAGCCATATCTGATAACGTCTCTAGCCACTGTGTTGCACCATCTCTCGGACCCAGCCAAGGGGTAGTGAAAGCCCAACAGAAGCCAGTCCTGTACAGCTTTCTTTCATACCACGACACCATGTTATACACTGACCACCACACCACTGACCGCTTTTTCCAACTAGTCCCAGAGTCGGCAAATAATGTACGAGGTGGAAGTCTCTGGGACGGCACTCGTAGAACATGTCAAAGCCACCGAAATCGATGTTTCAAGATGGTGACACTTACTGGACTATCGTCCTGCGCCCGAACACATGATGCCAAACCTCTGCATTACTAACACGGTGTTGCCACTGGATCTCAGTAACCTTTCAGAGACAACGATGATCGAACACAGAGAGACGTCCAACATCCTCAACTCGGAGAGGCCAGGTTTCACGAGCATAGAGCAAAACTGCTTTCACCGATGCGTTGTAGATCCGACCTTTTACAGCCAGACTAACATCACGAAGGCGCCAAAGATAGCCCAGATTGGCATAAGCCGCTCTGGCTTTCACTATACGTAAATCGATCTCATCACTCACACCACCACCAGTACTTATGCAGCTACCTAGATACATGAAATTCTCGACTACTTCAATCTGCTCACCACCCAGGGTGAGTACAGGATTAGAATCCTGCCAGTCTTGTAGGAGTACTTTGCACTTGGAGGGTGCAAAGCACATGCCGTACCTGCGGACACTGATTAAGTGCGGATTGCATGGCTTGGACATTATCGCACAGTAAGACAATATCATCCGCATACTCAAGGTCTAGAAGTTTTTATTGAGGCAACAGATCTACACCGCCATTACTTACATCCATCAGAGTTGTTTCCAGAATGTCGTCGATGGCAAAGTTGAAGAGGAATGGTAAGATTGGGCAACTCTGTCTAACCCCACTGCTTGAATGAAACAAGGGAGAAAGGTGGTTGTATGCTCTCACTCTGCCTGGGGTGTTTGTATATAGGGCTTTTAAGATGTTAATAAACTGAGGCACACTCTACTTCAATAAACAATTCCAGAGAACAGTCCTGTCCAACGGATCGAAGATAGCCCTGATGTCAAGAAACACTACGATTGTTGGCCTGTGATAAGTATGACGGAGTTCTAACATTTGGCGGAGGGTGAAGATATGATCAACACATCCTCGATCAAAGCAAAAACTAGCCTGCTCCTCGCGAGTCAATCTTTCTCGGGTTTTGAACAATCTACGAGGTATGACAGAAGCCAATAGTTTGGACGCAATCGAAAGTAGACATCTCACGATATTTGTTACAGGAACGTGAACCCTTTTTAAAGATAAGAACAACTATCGACTTATTCCATGACGTTGGAACACTCTCTAGCTCCTAGACCTTTGTAAACAACTCAGTCAGTTCTTTAGCTTTTGACAATTAACCGATGAAACCTGTACCAAAGTGCACTAACTTTGTACAGGCTATTTAATTGAAAACTACTGGAGCTAAAGCCTACAGTAAACTGTCATTAGAATTAATAATGGCAATTGATGCTCGTCAGGACTGTCCACTTTTTCGATTTTTATCTAACGATTTTATAAACATTTATTTAGACATAACGCATTGATACGTCTATTATTGCTACCGAGACTTATGTGGATAATTTCATCTTGTCGTGAAGATATGGCATGGCGATTTAAACTGATGCCTAAACGTGCCAGATTTTAACACTGTGCATGACTGATTGACTGGTATGTTACCATCAAGTCATCTAGGTCATTGACCTCCCAAAAAATTGAACCAGTTATACCATTCGGTTACGGAATAGCATCTGTTATGTGTTCTAGTCCTTAGTTCTGATTGAATTTTGGGATCTTACAGAGAATTATGGGATTTGAATCGACAACTTCATCTCTGTGCTAATGTGGTATGGCAGCTCGAACTGATGTACGTGTGTACGAAGTTCTACACTGTGACCGACTGACTGACTTACAGAGAATATCAATATTAACCAAAAATATCAGCTATTCGGCAGCGCCGACAATATTCTGACATAGGATTACCGTCTATTTACGTTTTCATAGTTATCTACTATTGAATGCTCTATAATTGTATAATAGTACATTTTGCGTTCTAGTTTACTCTTAATTTCTTCTATCTAATGCTTGGGAGTTAAAGTGATTCACAAACTCAATTAGTAGGCGTTATTTCAGACCAGTTTTAGAAGATCGACTAACATTAGACGAGTCCGAAGGGCGTATCCAACATCTTTTTGATTTTCTCCCTAGGGTTCAGAGGACTCTAAATTGTTTCCAGGTTTTCGCTTATCAAGACTGTGTCACCTGAACTTTTAAGATCGGATAGTTGGTTTTCTGACTGTAAATCAGTCTTTGAAAAGTCTGGAGCAAACATAACTGCCATTATTGGTAAGGTTTTGATCAATATGACCAAGGATAGTAACAGTGGATATCCTAGATGGAATCTAATGATGCTGAATTGGTGATACCTATGCATAGTTACTTACATCACTACGAGTTTGGATAGAGTGCCTTGACTAGTGCAATAACCTTCTTTGGACATTGCTTTAAAGTCGAAAACGTCCATAGGGCTTTTCGATTAAACGAGCGAAATGTCGTCTTCCGATTACGGAGAGAAGTCATCGGTTTGGTTGAAATCCGAGTTCTGACGAAGGTATAGGGTCTGTAGGAAAATGCTAGTCAAATGGTTTTCCTACGATCATCACAAGTTAGTCACAAGTAAAGTAGGATTTGACATATAAATCGGTCCAATTCGCCAAAATACATCAGCACAGTGAGGTGAAGTCAAAAAGATTGATACCAAAGTAGCAGAAATAGTAGTACTATCGGTTAACGTTAAAGATAAGGCACAGAAAATCTGATCGAAACAAAGAAATCACCCGTGGAATAAGAAGTAGATGATTTTAAAACTTAAGGTCTAGGGAAAAGCAAAAAGTGAATGGATCTGTACCATTGTGACCGGTTATGAGATGTTATACACCTTCTTTAGACATTGGTTACAAGAATCGCACCCAACCCAAACAGGACGTCTGGCCCCATTAACATGGATCAACCCAACAACCAATAGTTTCATGGACTGACGTCACGTCTTGGATTGTCCACCCCCAAATTTCTACCAAGCCATTACTACCTCAGACGTTTTGTTTATCACACAAGAATCCCTGATTTTTCTTATTCATTGAGATAATGAACAATAAAGACAAATATGGTGACATTATTCTTTTTTGTCACATGGTACCTCGGTTATTCTAATAAGTAACGCTCGTGTAAGGATATGCAGCTACAGGGACTAACTGATGACAATCAACAGTCCATTCCACACAGGGAATCGGATAATTACACGTTGTTCGAAGATAAAATACTTTCACTTATCAAACAAGATCAGTCATGAAGGTACGTAAGAAAGAAATTAGTAGATGGGAAAGAGATAGTGGTAAAGTTTAGGATTTAAAAAATACAGGAACTAGAGGAGTGGACTGACCTGAAGGAACAGATAATAGCTACTAAAATTTGATTAATCAAACAAAGAGAAAAACGTAAAATTTGACTTTAAGGTGTATTATTCCAAGATGCTACACTTTATATAAATACATTGGGGAAATCGACAAGAAAAAGAGGAAATGAAAGTATCGATTTTCACATTGGTGGGGAAATAACTATTTTCCAATCTGAAAAGCCGTACAGTTTTTAAGATCTCAATTCGAAAACTTTAGCGTAACCACTACCTAGCCAGAAAGAATTCTGATCTCGAAAATAAGTGGGCCAAGAGTTATTGTAAATATTATAATGGTGCCTGGGGAAACCTATGTAACATGAAAACTAAGCGGTCAAAGGAGGCTCAAAATTAAAGTCTAAACTGTCGTTCGGCTATTGCAACTAACTTTATTGCACAACGGGATCTATAGTTTTATGTAGATGATATGGAAAGTAAGCAAATCCTATCATTAAAGAGAAAGATCTTATCAGCTAACTACGAACCGCGTACCCAGTTACATAGTGAAAATATAACATATACTTCGAATTGATAATTAGACACCATTATGAACACAAAATAGAGAAATCTATCCTACTAGAACATATTTAAAAACGTTTAGGATGAGCAAATCAAACACCATTGAAATTGTCCAGATAATTTTACCACAAAAGTGGCGTTTACTACTAATAAGCACAGATAATTATGAAATATTACAGAAGCATTGTGATTATTTAACCATAGATTAAACAAACAAGTACTAAACTTTGGCAAAATTATAGCTGATACTTAAACGTTTGTTATCAAACTTACGCTGCCAACCTGTAAAACACGATGAGGGTTGCTGGAAGCTATGGTTTGTATTTGTGATGCCGTACAACTAGATACAGCAGAGTGTTGGAGCGGAGAATTTTCCAATTTTGTTTGAGCCCCTTGGTCGCCCGACTTACCAGTGAATTTAAGCTGGATTTTCCGGGGAAAGTCATTAGAAAACATCTTTAAGTTCAGTACAATAGGACTAAGAAAAATTAAACAGTAAAATCGACACTTTACAGCCATTCATCGAAAAGTCAGTTTTTATAATTAGGTACAGATCCCCACATATTCAATGCTTCAACTATTTTATAAACACAAATAATTCAGTTACTTCATTTCAAGATCCATTTAAAAATATCGTGCTTTAAAAAGCATCGAATGGACTGCCAACATTACTAATAAGTGACTTTTAATTGAAGTTAAGCGACACTTAATACAAAGGAAGCTCGATCACTTCTGAAATTCTGATATCCGAATTATAATGTTCTGATCGTGACAGTTAGGATCAGTACATAGACGTTTATGTCATTCCACCTACTGTTACAAACTAAACAAAATGTTGCTAGTTCAGTCACTGAGGTGTCCTAAATATCATCATATTAAAAACCGTAGTAATGATTTATTCGTTTCAGAGCCTGATTGAAGAATATTTCGTGACCAGTTAGCCAAATGAGTAAGCTGTCTTCACTGTGACCTACTGTCACTTGATAGCCCATCTTAGCAATAGTTTACTGCTCCAAACCAAGACCAATCATAAACTAACAAACCTAGCTTCTGTAGTAAACCATGAATAACCTAGATTTGAGCCTGTTCTAGTATCTAGCAATAGTATCTGTTAAATATACTTTTGACCGAGAAAAAGTGAACTAATCGTCGTAATGTATTTGAGAAAGCTCTGAAAAACATTGTAAGACCTAGCACAAATTGCCAACTAACGGGTGCCAAGAATGTCAGTGAGTAATACAGCTACAGTTCGTGAAAACTAACAGCAGGCTATGGTTTAGAAACGCAAATCATACTATGAATGATCATAAGTAGGTAGAAAGACTACCTGGTTAGAACTAGCAGGTATATTCAGCTGCATAATGAAAGCGGTATGATTACATATTACCACATACAAGTGTTATGATGAAACCACCACTAGTTTAAGTGAATAACCGGAGACTGATACAGAAATTACTGATGAGCAAACTTACATCTATTACAATCTTGCTATCTTCTCGTAGCTGAATCTGACCAGACTGGGACAGGTGCATGATCAGTTCCTGCAATTTTTGTTGACTCAGAGTTGATCCCTGGGTCCCGTCCGGGAGATGGATTGTAACGTAAGTTGTGGAAGGCACATGATCATCACTAGTAGACAGTGATCCCGATGACTTTGGTGCGCCTCCCATTATGAGTTTATCCAGAGATACAGTAGCTTCTAAACTTTCATTTTTTAAATCATCTTGGATGTTCGTTGGACTCGTGACTTCAGACGCTGCCATTCCTTCATTTAACTAGAAACAAAAAGTTACACAATGTTTTTCATTGCATGGAGGAGAAATGAGTTGACAAAATCTAGTTGACATATATAATCGCAAGACAGAAATTTTGACATAGCTATCAGCCGCAAGGACGTCAACCCAAGCGACCTTCCAAAGTGACCTTCGAAGGTCTTCTGAAGGGCATAGCCTTCAAGGGAATAGGCAGTAAGTGCGGCGAAAAACCGATAATAATACGTTATAAATAAAAGAAACACGTCTATAAGAGACACATATGCAACGCCAACTCACCATAAGTGTGAAAAAACAAAAATGGCCGACCAAATACGACGAAATTCAAATTTTTACTTTGCTGCCGAGGAAATATATTTGGTGTATTAAAAGCACGTGTGAAGCAATGAAGAACATGATCTTCGCTACTAACGAGCCTTATTGAGCCTTACCATAAAATTTTATTAAACAAGCAATGCTTTTCACAGCGAGCATCATGAATATTCATCACTTAAGCTTGGTACTGTTGAGATAAATTTCAATGTACAAATGTTTAGCTTTCTGACCAATTGTTGAAAACACAAGTTTAGTCTGAGAGGCCGCCATTGAAAAGACACATTTATGTGGGCAGCTGATTCCCTGTGAACTGGATGACTTTAGGAAATTAGTCTGAACTACAAAATTTTAGTTCCATGTTTTCGAACCCTAGTGGTAAAATTTGAATACGTGATATGAAGGATCTAAAGAAGTATTCAACACCTTACGAGGACGATGGCCGTTATTGATGAGCTATGGACCTTTTATAATTTGTTTAATAACAATTTTTGATTTCTACAACATCCGAATAGGTTGTAGTGAATATTTTACTCACTCGTTGTATGTGTCAGACATATTACTTCCGTTTGCATCACTTGAATGAAACATAAAGTTTATGTAACTTTTAAGTTCCTATCTCCTTAGTTTCAGTTGCTGTAAATTATCCGATGAGATCGCCCCTGAAAACTGACCCCATATTGTTCATTGGCTTTACTTTATTGAGGCTAACTGTGTTGAGTTGAAAAGATACCACACTCCAAAAACGTGTTAGTCACTAGGAATATTGCTCTCAAGTAACTTAAGTTGTCTCATTTGATGTTGCCATTGCTCAGAAACATCTCATACGAAAATTCCATATCGGAGAATTTTATTTACTTGCACTAGGATTCACAACCATATTAAAAACAGAACTCTAATGTTGCGAAACTTCAACTATATTCAAGCTGCCTATTCAACTTAAAATTAGTCAAAAATTGAGTTATTATCAGTGGTCTTCTGAAAATACTGTCTCGTAAAGTGAAAAATATACGGGAGACGCCTATAGAAGTTGCTTATCGAATAATTTGAAACAAGATAAAACATTCCCTCGTTTATTCTACTCTTGCTCTTCCTATCGTGTGGTGAACTGAAATCTCTGTGCCTAAGATTTTCAAGTAACCTGCTTCAAGAACCATGAAATCGCCTGCCTGAACATGATGATTCGTGGTCATAGTTCATTCTGGTGGACAATGTTCTGCAGCTGGAATTTTTCCGTCTGTTGTTTCTGTGTATGGTCGTTTTCTCATGTCTCGACTTGAAGAACATCAGTCAATGGAAAGAAAATAGCAGATCACAGCATTGTGAGTGACAGATACCCAACGTCCAGCGTTTGTCTGGGAGATTTTAAGGGCAACGTGTTTCGTGTCCTTGAACTGACCCACTGTGAATGGAAAGGCGATATTGAAACTTATGATGCTGGCAGCCAGAGAATACCTGAAAACCTGTAAGACACGTGACTGGGTCGTCTACATATTCCATGTCGACATTCTGTAGGAGGTTGTGGATAATGAATAGTTGTTGCTGTACATTTTTCATTATTTTGCAAACAATTTTTGAGATTTTAATCAGTTTTTGAAATCCGTCTGATGACTATCAGTAAGCTTCAGTGAGGTCAAACAAAAGGTCAAACGAAATAGGCTCACAAAGCGTTGAAAACAAATAAATACAACCTGGAGTGCAACTCACCAGCTTGGACGAAAATATTTTACGATCCGTGATTAGAGGATTATAAGTCGGATGGAATTTGCAGGGTGAAATGATTATCAAAAATTATCCGGAACTTATATTGCCGATGCTTATTTCACATTCATACCACTGATGGGCTTCAAGGTTTGGTTATAAAAATTACTTTGAGCATTCTTAGTAACGTTGTAATTGATCGAATTCATATTACAGGACGCTGAAGAAAAGTACTGTGGATATTTTACACTGATGAACTGTAGCTCTTCGGCGACTACTAGATGAAAAATGAAACATTTTGTCCATATATAAAGGTCTTTTCACACCATCTAAGTTTAGGTTGCACTATATAGACCCACAAAAGTTTGAAACTTTCGGTAATTTTGATACAAAGACCCTGGTCATGATATGTTTGTGCTGGAAAAACAACTGGTTAGCCTTTCACAGTTTAAAACCTTTCATGAATGGCGACCGTGGTAACAATGGTAATAGTACAGCATCTAAACTGAGATATAATAATAATATATTCTGAAAATAATGTTTACAGAATTCACACCAGTTTACAGGCATGATCACTCGTCCTCATCTGATCACGGGGGGTTACGTCGTACTACTTATCCCTTGCAACTATTAGCCAGCCTAAACCAAACCCTCCTCTGTATATTGACAACCTTCCAAACATGACTTCAAACTCATTCATTACTGACTTTTTATTTGATTGGGTCGGTATTTTCCTGTTGTGAAAGTGTCAAACACAAGAGCTTTGTCAAACTATTAATATCTTTGGCATATTAATGTGCTTTTTCGGCTGCATTGTAAACGAAGCATTTATGTAAACTTTTGAGATCATTCGAAGGCTTATTATCCACATCCTTCTAAATCTAAAATGTATATCTTTTATTTATATGTTATCACGTAAGTATGCATAAATTTGACGGAATTTAATAGTCTTCAAATGGAGTTGTTCACAAATAAGTTTTCATGGCAAAAAGCAGAGTATTTTCTAGTGGTTCAAATACAGATCTCATTATTTCACTAGGACACGTTTACATGTCGCTAGAAGTGAGAGGCTCTTCTTAAGTCAGTCAATGTACATGAGAAAAAGCGGCTCTATTTCTTCCGTTTGGTACACAAGCTTAGTCAGCACTACACGTTGGTCCGCAAAATTTAATATTCTTACCCTTACTTTTTGCACTGTTGAGGCTAAGTGGGGCAATTGGATATAAGAAGTAGCCTACATCGATTTCTTTTTGTAACCAGGTTTACCTGGAAGTAGCAACAATGGTGTAATCATGACATACTCATTGGGATATTACAAATATATTAATTTATTTATAACAATCCACCCAATGCTCAATTTATTCAAAATTATCAAATCAAAACTTGGTAATGATACCTACAAACTCATTAATAACCGGATCAAATTATCCAAGTGTAAATGCAATTGGTACAATCACAGAATATTTAATAAACGATGTTTACAAGACAACATTATTCCGAAATCTCTTTTTGTAAAACCTCCAGAGCGCTCTTGGAGATCTATACAAACTTCTCAACGCTCATCTAGAATATTTTTACGAGAACGTATTCACAAATGTACATATTTACTTGAAAAATATCGTGAACGAATCAAAAACCTTGATGATCTACTGAAGATTTTAATTCCTACAGATTTACAAACCGCGATTTCTAACCTGTTTATTGAAAGAGAACGCTATTATATAGATTCATCAAAACGCCGGCAAATTAAAAAATCGAAAAGATCAAAGAAAGGAAGAAAGGTAAGGAAACGTCAGCAATAAAATCTGACCCGAATGATCTAAGAATCGTTCATAATTTGTCTGACAGAAACTTAACGAATCATGAAGTCACCCTACTGGAGAAAGGATTAAATTTCAATTTACATAGAAAACCACTCAGTACTCTTGAAGTTGTTCCAATTATAGAGCAAATAATCGCACAACTACCAGAAAAAGAATCGCATTTATTACGTCAAAAGACGTCCCACATCTTGACCAAACAAAAACGCCTCACACCAAACATCTCAAAAGAAGAATACAAGGCCCTGCTTTCGCTTAAAAAGGACAAAACAATCATAATCACAAAAGCAGACAAAGGCAACACAACAGTAGTCATGAATAGAACAGACTACATTAATAAAGCTCTCGAACATCTTGCAACAGGACCATATGAAAGGATCAATCCATTAAATTCTCAAACGATTAAAAATAAAGTCAAATCAGATACAAGTGAACTTTTGAAAGAGCTAAAACCAGTCATTGGAGCTTTGCTTTGGTTTGCTCTATATCCCAAATCATGTAATACTTCACGGTTTTATGGTTTACCGAAAATTCATAAACCAAATATTCCTCTAAAACCGATAGTAGACTTTACCAACACACCGACTTATGTTTTATCTAAATATCTGAGCAGCATATTAAAGCCACTACAGTTCGACATACATAATATGATTAAAGACACATATGACTTTAAATCAAAACTATCGGAATTAATCATCGAGAAGAATGAAGTCATGGTAAGCTTTGATGTCGTATCTTTATATACTAGTATTTCGATTGATAACTGCTTAGAATTTATTAGTGACTTACTAGAAAATGACACTACTTTGTCGGACAGATGTCCGTTAAGCATTAGTTTAATCATGAGATCGTTAAAACTTTGCTTAAATTCAACTATATTCACCTTCAGCGGAACGCTATACAGAAAAACAAATGGTGTAGCGATGGGTTCCCCTGTGTCCCCGATTGTTGCCAACCTTTTCATGACACACATAGAATCAAAGATTTTCACCAACCACACTAAACCACGAATTTGGCTTAGATATGTAGATGACACGTTTGTAGTGATAAAAAAGACGCATCTAAGATCATTTTCAAAACAGATAAATACACTTTCATCTCATATCAAATTTACGAATGAAAATGAAAATGAACATGGTGAGCTTCCGTTCTTAGATTGTTTAGTGAATAGAAATATAAATGGAGTTCTAATTGTATCCATCTACCGAAAGCCTACACACTGTAATCGTTACATCGACTTCCATTCAGCACATCCTTTCAGTGCTAAAATTTCGTTAGCCTTAAATCTTTTTAGAAGAGCCAATAAAATCATCACTTCAGAAGAGGACAAACTAAAAGAACAAAAGAATATAATTAGCATCTTACAATTTGATAATTTTCCGATGAAGATTATCAGAAGCTTATTAAAACAAGACAATTCAGCACGTAATAATAACAATAATTCGAATGAAATGCCATGGATTGGTACTGCAGTTTTACCATACCGTCATGGCACGACTGAAGAACTCCAAAGAATCTTAAAACAACACACAAT